CCAGAAGCATCTGCCCACAGAGAGGCAGTCTGTTGGTGGCCCTTATGTATGCACTCAGTCTTCTTCCACATCCAAAAGCATCAGGCTTTGCTGGATGAGGGCCACATGGACAGAACAGTCATGCAGTATACAGCTGGACAGAAATGCAACTCTTCATTAGGAAAGAAGTTATGAAGTTTCACAACTTGCCAAATAAGTGACACTCTTGACAGAGGTTACACTGTTTCCTGCCATACAGCTGCATGGCAAGAATCAGAACAATGGCAAGCATCAAATCAGAGTTAACTGAAACCTAGAAGTAGAAATGAAAAGAATTATTCAGCCTCTGGGGATTTAGATCCTATCAAAAGAAAAACTGAATCATGCATAGTGACATACACAGCTAACTAAAAGCTGTATGATTTTGCATAGCAAAGATCATCATTTGACAGTAACATTAAATCAATAGCTAAAAAGTCATTCTCAAATTAATGCAAAAAATTGATTTGCCCTTGCTCATCCATAAACATCCAGATGATTTAAAATATAATAACAGATTTACATTAAGGCAGATCTTAGGAACAGGTGGTAAACAATGTTCAAGCTCTCAAAATTCCACTTGCAAATCTGGAAAACAAAGTGTAGGTAACCTACTCCAAAGCCATCAGTATACTTGCACAGAAGAAATAATGCATTTTTACCAGCATTTTTATCTTTGTATTCACCAGTAAGGAAGATTTAATTTTGCTCACTTTTTTATTAGGATCAACTAGTATCATCCTAGAAGGTGACTCTAATCATTTTTCTTCTGTTCAACTGTGAAGGTAGAAAAAGTAATACTTGAACAAGACCAAAAAGCTGGTCTACATTTTGCTACAACTACAAAAGCTACCCAAGCACAAGCTTAAAATTTCAGCATACTAATGAAATCCTGGTATTCACATGCCCAATCAATTCAGCAAAGTACAAACTCAAACTTACATTTGGACCAAAAGCATCTTTGGTCCCTTAATAAGGTATCAAAACAGCTGAACAAGCAAAATGAGATGGCAAACTCTTGCAAAATACTCATTTTAGATATTGCTTCTAGCATTTGCATCATGTTTCAGCCAGCAAAGGAAAAAACCTTTTATCTGTAGAAGTCTAAGGTGATTGCACACACATATGGATAGTATACACAGCTAAACACTTGGCACCAAAAAATGCACATATAATCTCACATTCTTTTATGAGGATGTATTTTTTAAAACATTGTGAGACAGTTTAGGTTTACCTTTCACTGGAGCTCTTTTTTAACCTCCAAAGTCTTTATATTACGTTTTCCAGATAAAAGCCTGAAATGTTCAAGCCAGAATTATTGAAGAGCTGGCAAATCTCTTTCATCTCCAAAGTATTCTGTACGAGGTGGGAGAAAAAGTTATGAAGCAAATGATCAGCCTTTGGCCCACTGTGCTCACTTGCACTTCAATCCTTCAGATTCCTCTAGGATCTAGTTCTTAATTCCTTAGCCCTGTGCACCTGCTTCATAAAAGGCCATGCCACAAGTAAATTAGTGACTTGATTGTGTGTGATATTTCAGATGTTTCAAGGAATATACCTAGTAACACCTCTGTACAGTACATTAAAAACTGAATGTCAAATCCTGCCTCATCAGAGCTCTTCTCCTGAACTTTACCTTCAAAACACAGCTCTCCACTAGATTTTACTTAACTAGCCATAGGAGTGAACGTACAAAATGCTCCCAGGTAGGTTCCTAGGTGACCTAAATAAATGTTCTACTTCCCTGAGTTCTTCCTGACATCATGTAATGATCCTGCATTCCTACCCAGGCCATCAGACCTCATGGGCCACTCAATTCAAGGCCATGCAACTGTCCTGGGTTTCTGTGGCATTAAGGAGTTGCTCTGAAGCTAATGTCTGACCAAACAGATCCTCTAAAAATGCATTTCAAGAGAAGCTTCAAAGATTTGATGACTAAAGCAATTGTGATCCAGTGAATCATTTCTCTCTGTCAACAAAACACATATAGACTGTAATCCCACTCAATTGATGACCACAATTATTTCTACAGCAGGGCTCAAATAATGATCCACAAATATAAAGTTAGAAGAACATCTGCAGCTCCAAGTGCTTGCCTGTCTACTTGCTGCAGACTTAAATCCAACACTTTCTATGATCCTTGGTAATCATTACAACATAGCAAACATATAACAAAAGAAAATTAACTAATTTGTGCTACAGCAGTCAGTTTTCATAGTATTTCATTGCACTTGTCACTGATTACTGCCTCTAGACTGCTATGACTAGAAACAATAGAAGCAAAATTATTTGAGCTATGCACAGGAGAAGAAAAGTGCCTCTGTACAGTATGAACATAAATTGATATCCTGTTCATTTTTTCATAGATAGGAAACATTCACATTAAAAAAAAAAAAAAAAAAAAAAAAAAAAAAAAAACCTGTAGAACCACTCTAAATCCCAAACAGATAAAAGAAATAAATAAACAGTGATGAGGAGGTTCTTTTAATGTAGGTGTACCTGATGTGGAGATTAAGAAACAGCTGTTCAGATGTTGATCTGCTCATTTTAGTACAAATCCCAATCAATCAGGGGAATGGGGAAGGGGAGGTTGGTGACTATTATGGATTAGAGTCATGGGAAATGGAAAGCAGGCAACAGGAAAGGAGCAAAAAAATTACGTAAAGTGGAGATAGTCACCACCAAGATCCAGCAGCATCCCATCGCCTGCAGTTCCAATGGTCCAAGGCCGATGCAGGAGCCAAAGCACAGGGCAGAGTGGTCAACCTTAAGCAGCAAGGAGATACAGCAACAGAGCAGGCCCAGGGTAGTCCATCATCATGCAGGTATCACATTGTTAGGTATCTGATGTCAGATGCCTACCCTCTTGGTTGTAGGCCCCTTTTTTTATCCTCTTTCCTCTGCCAACGTGAAATTGCTGGGTGTTTGGTTAAGAGTCACGTGCAGCACCCCTGAGGTTCCTTTCTCTTCAAGAGAGCCCTTCCACACAGAAGACTGCCTCCCTGCCATTAAGCTGCTGCTTATCTCTCACTCTCCCGGCCTGCAAATATTCAGACAAAAGATTTCTCCAACTTTGACCAGGACTTGCCTGGACTAGTCCATCTGTGCTTCTCAGCAAGCTTTGAAACAAAGGTGCAAAAAAAAAAAAAAAAAAATTAAAAAAAAAAAAATCACGTCTTACAATGACTGATTGTAATTAACGTGGACCTCAAGGCATGGATCTGCAAAACAGATGTTACACTGATCCAATAGAATATGTAACAAATTAACTGCAAATGAAATGAAGTATCCTCTTTCGGAGACAAATAGGAGTGCTGTTGCGCTAACTTTCCTCCCAGGAAGCAGAGGAACCGTTATTGCACCCTTTGGATCACTGTCTGGTGTAACCCAACACATCCAGACTATTTCATCAGCATGTGCAAGCCATCAGCAAGTTTTAATTAGCATCTGTAACGCTAGGTAGAAGCTGTCCCTGTAGTCTCTGTTCTTCTGAAAAGATGAGGGGAGAAAAAAAAAAAAAATGAAATTTACACCTGAGAAGAGCCAAAGATACTGTGGAGAGGCTGGAAGCGGCTAGAGCAGTCTATGACCTGAGGCTTATTTTGAATGGTCTGTGGTGTTTATACAATCTGTTCTGAAACACCATAAACTTTTACATGAGACCTTTAGGCACCAGCAAAGAAAAAATAAACGTAAAAATAGTCTGCACTGATACTTTGTTTTAGTTAAAACTGTCACAACTCTAATGTGAATATACAATAGTTTAAATAGTCTACAATGCACAAAGTTTGTGAAATGAATGATCAAGGCACTGCTTCTAGGCCAGCAATATGCACCACTCACTAAATATAAATAAATAATAAAACCTTTCATTCTGAAAGATAGGACTTCTGCAAATGCAGAGTCAGCTATTATTTAAGCCACTTCTTATATTCTTCATTTACAGCTGAAAACTCAAAATGATTTACCTAACAGATTATAATTTGAAAGAGCCCTTGTAATGAACCACCCTTCTAGCACCTGGAAATCCACAATCCTTCCAATAAAGGAAACTGGGATACTTCTACGGTATTAACTGAAGCCAGGACATGTGCTGGATTTGTGAATGGAAATAACATGGCCTCCAAAAACAAGTGTTACATTCCCTGACAACTCGGTAAATGAATAAGTAACAGGAGACATAAAGCATGAGACATTATCTTTCAAAGCTGAGGAGATGACACTAAACATTTGACATGCACATGAATGCAATACAGTATCAAACTAGATACATTTTAGTTACACCTAGTTCTCTTTGGTTTGTCAAGGCAGAAATGTGAGAAATTGTGACTACTCCAATTTTTGCTGAGAAAAATGTACTAAAATGAGGGCACCCTGTCCCACAGCCAGGCTGTCCTCATGGGGAAAAAGAATTGCTCTCTGGATGCCATAGGAACGTCTTATTTGATCTTTGCAAATTGCCTTTCTCCTCCTGTCATGTGTGATAGGCTGTAAGAGCCTATTTTTTTCTTGATAACCTCCCTGCAGGCACTAAGGATGCTGCTGGATATCTTCAAAGCCATCCCTACTCCAGCTTGAACCAGCCCTGGTCCCTTATCCTCTCCCCACAGTGCAAGTGCTCCAGCCCCAGTATCCCCCGATCCTCTGCTCAATTTAGTCCAGATTGTTGGTGTCTTTCTTGTATTGAGGTGGCACATGGGGAATCATACAATTATTAAGATTGGAAAAGATGCTTAAGATCATCTAGTCCAACTGCTAAGTTCATGCAACAGTTTAGGTGTGGTCTAATGAGCAGTGACTGAAGGAGGATAGCTACCCCCTGTGATCTGCCCTTAATGAAGGTTTGTTACCACAGAGTTCTTGTTCCACCTGCTCATTTCCCAGGCTAAACGCATTTGCATTCATACAGTTGATATAGGAATCCTTTCCCGTTTTGTCATTCGTGAGGCCTCTATCACTTCACATCCTCATCTAACATATACTTATCTCTCGTGTTTCTCCTTACTTAAGCTCTCTTCACTAGGTTTTCCAGCTTATTGTCCAAAATACTCTCACTTCATTTTGTCAGAAAAACAACTTATGCAACCCTCGACCTTCAAAGACAGTCTTGACAGCTAGCAATCCAGCTTTCCAACTACAACACCTGCATCAAGAGCCAGCTGTTGACCTACAGGATCTGTTTCTTTTTCTTCTAGCCATAGGGTCCCACAGCCTTAAGACTCATCCATCTCAAAGCTGTGTAGTTGCTCTGAATGTGCTCCAGGTCCCTCCTGCCAGTATCACTGATGCAATACTGATGAGCAACAGGCAGCTGGACTGGACAAACCACTTAGACTGTCTATAACACCAGATGCGAGTCCCCAGCAACCATAAACCTCCCTTGTGAGACAGCAACTCACTCTGACAAACAGGGTCCCTGTCCCTGCAGTAGAGAGCCACTTGTCCCTTTTTCTTGGTGCTACTGCATGGTTCATGCTCAGCCACCTCCAATGCTTCTCCAGACATGACTTCTACCTGCTTGTGTTCCACCAAGGCACCTGCATATCAGTGGATGGAGAACAAGCTGTCCTTACGCTGCCAGAAATCATGAGCTTCTGCTCTTCTCTATTCTAGGATCTTCTGGTTAACCAAGTGCAGACTCCACCTTTCTTTCACCTTTTTGAATGGCAGGGTGAAGCTCTCACCTCTGCAGAGTCTCTACAAAGATGCATCAATCTGTCATTTTCCCTGATTCTACTCATAGCAATCCCTGTTCACAGGAAGACTGGTAAAGCAAGAAGGTCCTCATCCTTCATATAGATAACTCTCAAAGAAACAGTCCCTATCCAGTTTGTGTTCTGCACCTGTCACAGCAAGACACTACTCTCCTCGCTTTTCATTCTAATAGTATGAATGATAAAACAGGGAAGCCCAAGCAACTTGCAGGAAGATTAGAATAGCACCACATGCAGAGAAACAAATAGGGCACAGGCATAACAGTTGCTCTTGTCACAGTCACTGAGAGTAACTGGTACATAAGATTATTCAAGAGTATCCAGAAAAAATATTTTAGAGTTGAAATTTTTCACTCCCACTGGTGACAGAGTGCCACCACAAGAGTTCTAAAAGGCCCCAAAGTCCGTAAATTATATATTAACACAATCTTGATCATTGCAAAATGCTGACATCTCACTCCATCCCAAGTCCTATTTCCTGTATAGGATAGGCCCTGCCTCTGGCAGGGGGGTTGGAAATTTGTAATCCTTGAGGTCCCTTCCAACCCAGGCCATTCTGTAATTTGACATTCACCATCTTAGATACATATTTTAGGCACACGTTGTTATAAATCAATGATAAGATAAGCGTTTCCTACCTAAAGCTTTTTTAGAACAAGCTTCCTGGAAAAATATTTCATATTGAACTTGAATAAGCTCTTCTCCACAGAAGTGCTCTGTGGAGCACTCTAAAGGCAACTCTGAATTCAATTTCTACTGTAACAAATGTGATGTCCTCCGATCCCTGACTTTGCTCAGCTCATTTGCCGGCATTTTGATTATCCTCACTCCTTCAACTTTCACAAACAGTACCAGAGACCATTCAAACAACAGACACTATTAACTGCACAGAACTCATGGAGCAGAGAGGAAAAATTGTTGGCATTTTGGAGTTGTGAATGCAAACGAGCCTAAGCTCCTGCGGAGTAAAGCTGCAGGTTATTTTCCCGATAAATTACTTGGTCAATAAATCTTGTCACAACATCTCTCCACAAATAAAAGTAGCAGCTCTCAGATGGCTCTGAGGTGCTCTCTGTGTTCCCTGGGAAGCTGAAGAGCACATCTGGGGCCCAGTAAGGGCAATCATAGCAGATCAACATGCTTGAACAACATCTTGAATTTTCTTGGCTCCAAACACCAAGGCAAAACTGAGTTTGTACAGGTTTCATATGAAAACAGAACTCAGAAGTCAAAGTGAAAACTCAATTCTTCAGAATTGTTTGTGATTCAGATGTAACTTTAGCAACACAGTTGTAAGTTTACAAATATATTCTGGAATGCTAACATTTTGACCAAAAAAAATTATACTTCCTTAAGCAAAACCACCCCACAAACAGCACATATCAAAACAGCTCCGTAGTCTTGTGCAGCCACAGATAAAAAACCACCAATAACACTACTGTAACGGCTTAAAAACAAAGAAAAACAAAATAGAAAGTATTTCCAGCCTTTAAAATGATACATACTCTCACAAGAAACCTGGTATTGTTCATGATAATAGAGGACCTGTGCCAAAGAGGATCAACAAGATTATGCTACTTAGGAAATTAATCCTCCATAAGGCTTCAGGAAAGGGTTCTGGTTTCTCATAGATTTTACAAGGAAAAACACTCCTATTTTAAATGAGTTTACAATCACACACTAATTATATCATAAGGTATGAAACAAGCTTTACTGCAATAAATCAGGTATTTCTAATGCCAGATCAGATTACTACTGCCCTAAAAACAAGACCAACAAAAAAAAAAAAAAAAAAAAAAATTCAATACTAAAAGCATTTACCCTCCTTCAGTCTCTCAGAGAACCAGAATCTACCAGGAGAGCTCAGAGAATAAATGTTCATAGTGCTGCTCCAATACACCCAGCTGCAGCACACCGGAGCTATCAGTTTAGGCTTGCCGTATTTTGTATGGCTCTACTTCACAGAATCTTAGAATTGCAGGGGTTAGAAGGGACCTCAAGAGATCATGGAGTCCAACTGCCTTTCAAAGCAGATTTCCTAAAATAGGTCACAGGTAGGCATGCAGACAGGTATTGAATGTCCCCATAGAAGGGCACCATAAGCTCTCTAGGCAGCCTGTTCCAGTGCTCCATCACCCTTACCATAAAGAAATTCTTCCATGTGTATGTCCCTTAATGAAGCATACACTTCTGAGTAATGAAGTCACTTCATTAAGCATACACAATTAGACTTAAGATTAATTCCACAGATTTTTGTGCTAATTCTCGTGGTGAGGCAAAGATGACTTGGATGTATACAATCCTTAATCCAATCTGCAGGAATAGTCAACAGTTTATCCACTACATTGAACTCTGTACAAACAATGTACTAAAAGCTGCTTTAAGTTTCCTCAAATTTTCTGCACAGTTGATGCATAATCATCTTCGCATTCTCTGAAGCTTACTATCTCATCTCTTTGCATTTACTGCAAATTGCCAGTTCAGCTTCTTAACCTGTGTTTCAGCCAGCAGTGTGTTCATTGGAAAGATGTTCTGGAACATCTAGCTATTCCAGAAGTATTAATGCAGTCACACACAATGTTTGATTGTGTTTGATTCCTTTGAGAGGATTCCTTGTTGTCTTCTTTCTACCCCTGGAGGAATATATAAACAGAGTTTAACTGAGATCATGTTGTAGAGTTACCAAATATCCATATGATGTCGCAGGGTATTAAACAACATCTATAAATCAAAATTGTCTAACTCATTACAATTAGGACCCTGAGAACAACTGCCACGTGAAAGAAAAAGAAATTAAACTTGCAAAAAACAACAAATCAGCTGGAAAAATTTGCTTAAGTCAGGAATGGAAGGTTAGACATAACCATCTTCTCCCCCAGACAGTGTGGAGTATCTGGACTGGCTAAAGACAGATGCAAGTCCTTGAAGAAACACATGACAGTAATGTGCCCAGGTGGCCAAGAATGCCATGGCATCCTGGCTTGTATCAGGAATGGTGCGGTGAGCAGAACTAAGGAAGTCATCCTGCCCCTGCTCTCGACAATGGTGAAGCCTTGTCTTGTATTCAGTTTTGGCACTTTAGCACAGAAGGCACACTGAGATGCTGGAGCAGGTTCATAGAAGGGCAACCAGGCTGGTGAAGGTCTTGGAGAATACGCCCTAGGAGGAGAGATGACTGAGGGAACTGAGGCTGTTTGGTCTGGGGAAAAGGGAGCTGAAGGAAGACCTTACTGCTTTCCTCCAATGCTTGAAAGGTGATTGTAGAAAAAGCAAGGGTTGGTCTCTTCTCAATGGTGACAGGATGAGGGGAAATGATCTCAAGTTGCACCAGGGAGGTTTAGGTTGGATATCAGGAAAAACAACTTTACTAAAAGCATTGCTAAGCACTGGAATAGGCTCTTCAGGGAGGTGGTTGAGTCAACATCTCTGGATGTGTTTAAAAACCATTTGGATGTGGTGCTCAGTGACATCATTTAGCAGTTGTTAGAGTTATGGTAGTGTGGTTAGGTCATGGTTGGACTCCACAATCTCTAAGGTCTTTTCCAACCTGAGCAATTCTATGACTGTCACCCTTCCCAATACCTGATCTCTGTTAATAGTTTTCAGTTTCTAGGACTATTAATTTTTTTCTTTACAAGGCAAGAAAAACAGAAGGCAAAATTTAGAAGTTTAATCTTCACTGAAGCGCATTTCAGGGAACAAAATAAGTACACAACTCATCTCAATTCATATTTAAACTTAATTAGCAAAAAAGCAGGTACCTCTGGCCCTGTTAGTGATAACCAGGGGAAAAAAAAAGATAAATATCAGCCCTGTCCAAACTAAAACATTTCTTTGAAGTATTTGAACCATGTTCTGAAATCAAAAACTTTAGAAAATATTTTCATAAATAACAACTGTCTCAAGAAATACTTTACTATCTCTTCTGTTGCTATTGCTTCTGCAGATCAGTAAGCATACAGACAGCTGTGTAGCCTGTGTAGGGTTTTATTTGCTAAAAATAAATAAATAAATAATAATAACTCCTGTTGAAGTACTTTCAGAACATAAATGAACCTAAACAAAGATTGACCAGAATTCACTTTGATGAGTGGTTCAGAGCTATTTGAATCCAAAAAAATTCAAGGAAAATATGCATGTATAAATCATAACTAATAAAATTAACGAAACCTGAAAAACTAAATTACTCAGAGCTCTTTTTTTGGTCCCTTAGAAAACACACCAGTGCCTTGTATCTTCTTCAATATTTGGTCAACTGTCAGTTGGGTTAAGAACCTGAGCAAATGAGAATTCGTTCAATCCTTGAGTAGCAAATGCACGGTTGGCTTGAGCTCACAGAAGACAGCT